GTGTGTGTGTGTTGGGATATGTGTGTGTGTGTGGTGTGTGTGTGTTGGGATATGTGTGTGTGTGTGTGTGTTGGGATGTGTGTGTGTGTGGTGTGTATGTGTTGGGATATGTGTGTGTGTGTGGTGTGTGTGTGTTGGGATGTGTGTGTGTGTTTGGTGTGTGTGTGTTGGGATGTGTGTGTGTGTGGTGTGTATGTGTTGGGATATGTGTGTGTGTGTGGTGTGTATGTGTTGGGATATGTGTGTGTGTGTGTGTGTGTGTGTTGGGATGTGTGTGTGTGTGTTGGGATATGTGTGTGTGTGTGTGTTGGGATGTGTGTGTGTGTTGGGATGTGTGTGTGTGGTGTGTATGTGTGTGTGTGTGGTGTGTGTGTGTTGGGATGTGTGTGTGTGTGTGTGTGTGTTGGGGTGTGTCTCAGGGGTTTGGACAGTCAGTCTTCACTGTCAAGGGAGGGGGAGGGGGAGGGGTGGCATCTGGGTGGTGGCGTGTTTCCCGTTATCCTGGGTCCAGCCGGGCGGCTGCGTGGTGGTGGGGAGCTGACGGGTAGTGGCAGGTAGTGCCTGGTGCTGGGGTCGGAAGCTGACCAGATGCCGGCAGGGGATGGAGGAAGGCGACAGGAGAGGGCAGGTGGCAGTGCCACAGTCCCTCAGCCCCAGCTGTCAAGCCCAGCTCTGCTTCTCCTTCAGTGCTGGGGCTGGGGAGAGCCCTGCCAGGGCCCTCGTCCCGGGCCTTGCTCTCCAGCCCCCTCTTGCCAAGCCCCTGCAAGGCCTCACAGAGGGAGGGGACAATGTCTGGGCCGAGAGCCCTGTGCTGCTCAGTGGCCTGCCTATCCTCAGACCCGGTTTTCATGCTTCCAGCTCTGGGCCTGACCCTGGCAGAGGGGCCCTGTTGGCTCTGTGTGGTGCGGCCAGGGAGGAGGGAGCACTGCCCTGTGGAGAGCTTCCAGAAGAGCCGGATTTGGAGACTGCCTCTCCTCCCTCACCCTTCCTGCCTGGGCTGCAGGAGGGACAGCTTCCTGCTGTCACCATCTCCCAAGTTGCCTCCCATCTCCTTTGGGTGGCTCCAGCCCTCCTCCACCAGCGCCCCCAATCCCTGCCCAAATCCCTCCCTCTTGGACACTCAGACGGTGCGCTCTCTGCTGGGCGGCGGGCTCGGCCTCCTCTTCCAGCTTGCTGAGTGACCTTGGCTCCTGGCTTTCCCTCCCTGGGCTCTACCCTTCCTCTCTGCAGAAGGGAGGGGAGACGCAGAGAAGCAGAGGCCATCTGCCGGGGGGACCTGGGCCTTCTCCGGGGAAGTTTTTCCAGTGCACCTCCTGGGGCCTCTCAGACATCACCCTGGGGATCACCAGGCTGCTCCGCCTCTCCTGGGAAGGAGGCAGACACCTGCTCGTGGCGTGTGGCCTCGAGTCCTGAAGGAAGTCCTAACGCTCTTTCTGTGTATAGTTGGGGTTCAGACCCCAGCTGGGAGGGTACATTGGCTATTCTGGGCAGTCAGAGCCACAGACAATATCCAGAAGGGTCTCCCCTCTGTGAGGCTGAAAGAGCCGGTTGGTGAGAGGTGGCTGGAGACCCCTGGGTCCCCCTTCCCCAGGAAGCCAGCCTCCTCCGCCATCAGGCACCGACAGTTGTCATTGTGGGGAGGAGAAGCCGTGGGGGGGGGGCTCCAGAGGAAGGGAGGGAGAGATCAGAGCAGAGCTGAGCCCTTGTTTTGGGTTTGAAATGCCCAAGCTGTTAATTTGAGGCTGATCAATGCTAATTTGCACATATCTGGTTGCTATAGCAGGTTATCTACTTCCTGTCAAGATGTCCCAGGGGCTCCTGTGACTCTTCCCCATCATTGCCCACCCCACATGCTCCCTGTCAAAGGTGCTATGGGACCAGTTCGGCAGGGGGAGACGCAGGCTGGCACCTCCCCCCCCCCGCCCCCCGCAGTCTTTGAGTCTCCCCAGCTGCCCTGGTGGACGGGGAGGAATCCAGGACACAGGAGGGGAGGAGAGGGGGGCAGGGGCTGGCCAGCCCAGCCTGGGAGGAGATTTAAGCAAAAGTGCAAATTACCCAACCCCGTGATTACCATTTCTTCCAAATCTGTATGAATATTAAAGCGCAGCCCACCCCGGGCCCCACACAATGAATTCTGCATGAATCTTAAGATAAATCGTTTGGATAACTTCGCAGCAGCTGTACTCCCCTGCTGCCAGCTGCTTCCCCAGATCATCCCACGGCGGGCAAGGGGAGAGGGAGGGCAGGAGGGGGAGGGCCGGGAGGGAGCCAGGAGGGGCCAGGCCGGGCGTCAAGCTGCGTTTTGAAAGGCCTGGTCCTGCCTAGTTGGCCGGCCACCAAGAAGTTTCTACCTCGCTGTGGACACACTTTTTGTGTTCCTGGGCTGTCTGCTCTGTCCTGTCCCCTCCCTGAGAAGCAAACCTGCCCAGATGGTCCTCAACTCTCATCCCATGATGCTAGGAAGTGGGACTCTCAGCCAGGGGTGATTTTGTCCCCCTGCCCCCAGGAGGCACTTGGCAACATCTGGCGACAGGTGAAGGCTGGGAAGGGGAGCCCTGGTCTGTGGGGGGGGGGCAGGGGGCATGGAGGCTGCTGAGCACCCTACCCTGTGCAGCACGGCTTCCCCCAGCACAGAAGGGCCCAGCTGACATCCTCACTAGTGCCGAGGCTGAGCAAGCCTGCGGGGGGTGAGCACCCCACATTACATCCTGCTTCTCCCAGGCATCTGCTCACCCTCGCGGCCTACCCAAGGGCTAGAAGTGAGTGACCTGGGGCCCTGGGTGGACGGAGCCAGGGTTTTGAGCTTCCGAGTGTGGCACATGGTTATTGTGAGGTCTGAACCCGGCAGGTCCCTGCAGGCTCCAGATGGCACCCTCAGAGGGTTCCAGGCGAGGCAGCTCCGTGAAGAGGCCACCTAGAGACTGTGAGCAGAGTCGAGGGACCAACAGCAGGTGTGTAGGGTTCAGGGACCAGAAGGAGGGGAAGTTTTGTCCCCTTGAGGTCAAGGGAAAGGAAGGTGTGCCAGGAACCCAGAGCCACCCAGGGGGACTGGTGGCTCCCATGGAAACAGTCTCTGCCAGGACTTGGGCGGGAGGGAGGGGAGGGTGGGACAAACCTTGGCACCTCCTGTGCTGCAGCTGGCCCAATCCAATCAGAAGGCGGGGGACCAAGGGCCTGGCCCATACCCTCAGTAGAGGTCGCCCTGCGGGAAGAAAGAATGGCGTGGTTGGGGTGGTGGGGGCTGGGGAAGAAAGGGGCAAGTGGGGAGCAGCCGGCTCAAGTTACCCCAGAGCTCCTAGGAGCTCAGTGCATGGACCAGCCGTTAAAGAAGACCCGCGGTACCACCCGGGGTGTAAGCATGGGTGGATCCATGAAAACCGCCTTTTGGAAATCTGTGCCGGGGCAGAGAGAAGGTTCAAGTGTTAGGATTCCCTGGGAGCCAATCTCAGAGGAGCTTCGGGAGGCCATGGCGTGCTGGGATTCAATTTACAAAAATGCAGTTTAAGCACAAATTTGCAGGGGCGCGCCACGTGTAAAGGGAATTTTGCAATTTCACTAGGGCAGAGCAGCCAAAGGGGCAGAAGCCAACCCGGCATGTGGCAGGGAAGATACAGACGGCGGGCGGTTCTCTGGAAGGACTGGTCACCGTCTATCAGCCTGAGGACCAGACGTGCACATGGGGGCAAGAGGCATCAGAGAGGACACAGACCTCCAGCCTGAGCAGCGGGTGGCGGCGGTGGCGGCGGCGTCGTCGCTTCCACTATGAGAAAGATGGACGGGTGGGGCCTCGGGTCCTCTGGGCTCCAGAGCCCGTGGGTAGGCAGCCACATCTGGGGCTAGCTGGCTGCTGGGCAGTCTCCCAAAACAGTGGGCCCCGTCCCCTTCCCAGAGGTGTGCTTACGGTCACAGGCAGGATGGTGGCCTTTGCAGAAGGCCACCTGGGAAAGGGGCTTGGCCCAGGGAGTGTGCACCTGCCCTGGGTCAGTGGCCCCGGGGGCTGCCTCGAGTTCCTGGTTCTGAGCAGCAGCTTATGAGGAGTAGACAAACAGGAGCCGCTTTTCGGCCCAGAGGGCGGTAGGGAGTGAATGAAGATCCCATTGTGAGCACACTGCGGTTGCTGGAGCCTGGAGGATGATCATCACCGTGTCCCAAAGCCCTCCAGGCTGCGACTCAGGCCACAGGGGCGGCTGAGGGAAGGTCTGGGAGTCAAGTCACCCTGGCCCCACCTCGGGCTTGTGGCCTTGGGCAGCCGCCCCACCTGTCTGTCTCTGCGTCTTGAACTCCTCCTTCTCCACCCCTCTGGCTGGGGGTCCTCTGGGCCCTGCACCCGAGGGCATCAGTAGCCCTTAGCTCTGGTTTGAGAGGGGGCAGCACTAACAGGAACTCAGAGGAGGGGACCAGAGAGGTTGGGGTGCTGGACAGGGCTGCCTCCTGCCAGGGTGGCTTGGCAGTGGCTGTCAGTGATCCTAGGGACCCGGTGGCTTCCCTTTCCTGCTAGGCCGGACCTGTGTCCAGCCCTCCCCTCTCCACTCTTGGGACCCCCAGCCTTTGCCAGAGGGCCCTTCATTAGGACTCACTTCCGTCATTCGTGAGGGCCTGCCTGGACCCTGGCCGTCCCCCAACAGGGGCTGAAGCCACTGCGGAACACACATCTGGAGGAGGGGTGCAGGATGCAGGGCCAGGGTGGGGGGTCGCACGAGGCAGCTGGCGCTGTGTGGTGCAGTGGTTAGGAGCCTGGGCCTCCTGGGTCGTGTCCAGGTCTGCCACTGACCAACTCCTGCTGTGGAAGGTGGGCGGCTGGCTTGCCCGCCCCACCGTGTCAGCTTTCCCTCCGTAAGATGCTGCTGCTGCTGTTGATGAGGGTGATACGCATGTTACAGGGCTGCTGTGAGTTCAAGTGAGTGAATTGGTATAGAATTTTAAAGTGGCATGTTACAGGCCATCAGAAATATTAGCCATCACTTTTTATTACAGTAAAAAACAAAATGTGTTTCTTCCAGGCCACAGGAAAGGCCCACTCAGCAAACCCCCGTCTCCACCTCGGAATGATGCGGTTATGACACGTTCTTCTCTACAGTTGGGACCTGAGGCCATCTCTGTCCTCGGCGAGGCCCCTGCTGTCCAGACCCTGGACCCACAGCCTTCCTGAGAGCTTCAGGAGGGACCTGGGAACCCAGCCGGAGTGTTCCTGGTCCCCTGCAAGACAATGGCTCACTGAAGGGTTTGTTATTCATAAATGTGTTACCAAGGACCTGTCACCGACCAGGATCTGTGCTGAGCCCTGGGGCAGGGTGTTCAACTCACCAGAACCCTCCTTTTGCCTGAGGTCGTTAATTAGAACCAGAATCAGCCCTGAGCCCAAGTGAAGCTAGTATAGAACATGCGTAGGAGAGAAGGCAAGTGCCAGAGGCTCAGGGTACTTGGCTCTGGAAGAATCTGGGAGGGCCTCATGCAACCAGCTGTGGTCTACAGATGCCACCTGCTACCCCATCTCCTCTTGCTACAATTGGCTTCAGAAGAGAGGGCTTGACATGATTCTGGCCAGAGCTCTTCCCTTTCTGCAGAGGGGATTCATGAATTTTAATGACCACCAGCAGTGGCAGCATCATCACCACCAGCACCATCACAATGCTCACCACCAACAGCCCCATGATCACCACCACCATCATTACCATGATTACCACCACCACCACCACCATGATCATTACCATCACCACCACCATCATAATCATCACCACCACCATCATTATGATCACCACTTCTACCACCACTACCATTACCACTATCATTATCACACCACCACCGTGATCACCACCATCATCATCACTACGATCAACACCATCACCAGCACCACCATCACTATGCTCACTACCCTCACCACTACCACTAGTGCTGCTGCCACCACCACCACACCATCACCATGATCACTATATCACCACCGTCACCATGATCATCACCACCATCATTACCATGATTACCACCACCACCACCATGATCATTACCATCACCACCACCATCCACCACCATCATAATCATCACCACCACCATCATTATGATCACCACTTCTACCACCACTACCATTACCACTATCATTATCACACCACCACCGTGATCACCACCATCATCATCACTACGATCAACACCATCACCAGCACCACCATCATCACCACAACAGCAAGCCAGCTCCTCCCATTTGGCTATCACATTCCAGGGCAGAAGACGGCACAGCAGTGTCCTTCTTTTGCTTCTTTGTTCTTCGGTAAAGGAGTCGATTCTCCTCTACTCCTCAAGAGGGGAGTAAGGGGGAGGTGCACTGCAGAGAAAATCTTTACAAAAAATCTTATTGGTGCACTACAAGTATGCACAGTAGTGAGACTCATTATGCCAGATCCATACCTGCACATAACATAATCCAATCAATCTCCCTCCCCAGTGCAGACAAAATCTTGAAGTGAGGTGCCCAGAACAGAGGCCAGGCTGGGAGAGTAAAAGTCCTCTCGAGTCAGTAGCCTGGAATTCCCGTCACTTTCTCCCTCAGCTGCCCACCGTCTCTAGCTCACCTGCGCTCCACACCTTGCATGTTAGAAGCATGGACTTTGCACTCAGGAGAACCCGGTCCACACTAGCTGGGTAACCTCAGGCATTTTGCTCAGACTCTCTGAGCCTATGCTTCTGTGTCTGTCAATGGGGAGAATTCTGGCCTCGGAAGGCTGCTGTGAAGATGGCAAAGGAGGTGAGGTCAACCATCACTTGCTCTAGTGTCCGGCACATGGTACGTGCTCGTTCACTGCCTGTTAATTTCCCCCTCATCCTTCCTCCTTCTCTCTCTTTCTTTCCGTTTTTTCCATTATTCCTATGTATATCACTGACTACCCCAAGCTTCGTGGTGTAAAGTGAATGTCATTAGCTCGGGGCAGTGGTGCATGCCCGTAATCCCAGCGATTCAGAGGCTGAGGCAGGAGGATCACATGTTCAAGGCCAGCCTCCGTAACTTAGAGACCCTGCCTCAAAATAAAAAAAATTAAAAGGGCTGGGGATGTCGCTGGGTGGTCAAGTGCCCGGGGTTCAATCCCTCGTACAAAGGAGAAAGTCACTGATTGTTGTTCTCTCTCATGGTTTTGGGGGTCGGCCTGTCCAAGGTGGTGGGTTCTCACTGTTTCTCTCACATGGTGCCCGCGGCCCCCCGGGGGCCTTTCGGAAGACTGTTTTCCTTCCACGTCTGCGGGTTGGTGCTGGCCACTGGCCCGAGGCCCTGGCTGGGCTGCCAGGACTCCCACACACGGCCTTTCCACGTGCCCTGGGGTTCCTCACAGCGTGGCAGCCGGTTCCTAAGAGTGAGAGCCAGCCCCAGGCAGCCCAAGCTCTGTCACCCTTCATGACCCCGCCTGTCACGCAGCATCCTTCCTCACGGACTCCGATGCTCTTTCAGGAAGTGGCAAAGTCACATTGTGAGGAGACAACGTAGGATGGGGGTTGTGGCCATTTTTGGAACACAGGGTTGGACACTTTGATAGTTTCATTAAGGTTTTATTTTCTTATCTGCAGATCGCCACCCCCCTCGGCCAGCTTAGGAGCACTTCCTTCCTCTCCTTGCCCTTTGGGGATTGGGATTGGGATTGGGATGTCCACAGCCCCAACCCTCCCCCCGGCCAGCTCACCTGGTCAAGTGCCAGTTCCCAAAAACCTCATCCCTGACCCCATATCCCAGGCCCTGGGCCTCCTGAGCTTAGCTGCTCTTTCTTCACGCTGTATCAATTATTTATTGCTGAGTAACAAATTGTCCTAAGATTTAGTGGCTTAAACCCACATGCATATTATTATCTCACCGTCTGCATGTTGGGAATCCCCGGGGCGCTGAGCAGGGTCCTCTGGCTCACGGAGCCTCCTAGGGCTGCCATCAAGCTGTGGTCCAATCTGCAGTCGTGGCTGGGGAAGATTCTCCTCCAAGTTCAACAGGCCTCTCTTCCCAGAGGGCTGCTGACCAAGGCTGCCCTCGGTCCTTTGCCACGTGGGCTTCTCCATGGCTCAGCACACAACATGGCCGTGTGTTTCATTAGAGAGCCTCAGAGTGAGAGCAGGTCCAGTGCCCGTGGCCTGATCTGGAAGTGACATCTGCCACTTTTGCCATATTTTATTCATTAGAAACAAGTCACTAGGTCCAGCCACACGCGGGGGAGGGGATTCTACCAGGGCAGGAAACGCAGGAGATAGGAGGTCACCGGAGCCTCTTTGGAAGCTGCCTACCACACTCACCATGACCCTGGGGACCTGGGGAAGGTATATGTGAATACGATTTCACTAATGGTGGACAGTGGTTAGGGCTTGTGCATTAATTTTCCTGGCAACGTTCTTCAAAACAGCCCCAAATAGGAACAATTCCCATGTCTATGTCCTGATGATGAGCAACGTAGCTGTGGTCTGTCTATACGGGAGACTATTCTGCAACAGTCAGAAGAAGAACTCACACTGCAGCAGGACGGACCTCGGAAACCCCACGGTAGGTGAAAGAAGCCAGTTGTGAAGAACCACGCATTACACATGGTTCCACGCATTATGCGATTCCACTCCTGTGGAAGGTCCAGGGTGGGTGAATCTATAGACAGAAGGTGGATTTGCAGCTGGGGACATGCAAAGTGAAGTAGTAGGTAGATCGGGAACCCCCGGAAGATGTGTCCTCCATCTCACCCCTAGAACCTGCCAACGTGACCTTACTTTCTATCAGGATCTTTGCGGATATAATTAAGGACTTCAAAGTGAGGCCATCCTAGATCCTGGGTGGGCCCTACATACAATGACACATGTCCTTGCCGGAGAAGGCAGAGGGAGATTTGAAACTCAGACACACAAGGGCCAGGTGAAGACGGAGCAGAGACTAGAGTGACGTGGCTGCAGACCAAGGACACCTAGGGCCACCAGAAGCGAGGCTCCCGGAGCCTTCTGAGGGACCGAGGCCCGCCAGCACCTGGATTTCAGACGTTGACCCCTACAAACTGCGTGAGAATAATTTTTGTTATTTTAAAGGAAAAGTTTGCGGCACTTTGTTAGGGCAGCCCCAAGAACGGAGTCAGGGGTGACAGCTAGGGGCTGTAGGGTTTCTTTTGGGGGGTAGAGAAAACTTTCGGAAACTGAGGTGACGTGTGTACAACTCTGTGAATACACTGGAAGCAGTCGAATCCCACACTTTAGACGGCACTTCATACGGAACGTGAATGATATCTCAATAAAATTGTTTTAAAAAATATAATTGAAGATGTGGCCCTGCCCCAGAAAGGCAGGGGCAGGGCGAGCAGATGGCATGTTTTGACTCAGCCCTAGGTGGCTCCACGGACCAAGCCACTTCCCTTGGCCAGCAACACCAGTGCCATGTCCCCGGGCCATCAGCCATTGTGGGGCTGTGGACAGAAGCCCTGGTCACCTTGCCTCCCCTGTTCCTTTTCTCATGACATTATTATGTTCCCTCCACGGGGGGTAACTTTCTCTCCTCCTCACCCCTCTGGGTCTGGCTGCACCCCTCGACCTCAGCCCCATACCCCTTCCACGGCTCCCTCCAAACAATAAACCTCCAGGGGTGGAATCCGTTTCCAATCCTCCAGACGTCAGGGGAATTGAAAGCACGGCAAATATTTCCGAGATCTGAATTACACCGACCCCAGAAGGCTGAACTTGCAGCATAATCCAGGTTATGAATTGTAAATCAGACGCCATGCAAAACTACTTGCGAAAATTCAATAAGCCTTCTTTGCCCCTAGCACAAGAAAGCGGGGCCTGGGGAGGCAGGAGGAGGCAGGGGGAGGCTCGGGGGAGAGGGCGAGCGGGAAGGCGGTAGGGCTGGGTCGTCTGTCAGTGGGTCCTGCCTGGCCACAGCTTCTCAGGGCAGGAGCTACTCATTCTTGGGTGGCAGGAACCCAGAGGTCTCTGTGGCCTCTGGATAACACGCCCTGCAAACTGTGATCCAGCCTTGCAGATCGGAACGGTGCCGTTGCCAGCCCACTCGGCCTGCGGTGACCGCGAGTGGCCATGTGGGCCCCTCCCCTGGCAGCAGTTATCAGCTTCCTGCATATCCATGTTGTTCCCACTTGCCCATTCAGGTCCCTAGGTGGTGACCCCTGTGAATATGGATGTGATGGGGAGTGTGGAGTTGGCTGTCACCTCTGCTTTAGCGAGCGGGAAGTCGGATTGGACTCGCTGATGGTCGCCGGGGAATGGAGAGGGGACAGATGATGTGCTCTGGTGGGCAGCCAGGGATGCCGTTCACAGCCACTGAGGCCAGCTGCTGGGCACCGTGCCGGCCGCCAGGCATGTCAGCCTGGGGACAGATGAGGCCCTTCCTTTGAGAAGGGCCAGGGGACAGCTTGGGTCCTCATCCCTGTCTCCCAGGTGCTCAGAGGATCCAAGCATCAGGCACGCGTGTTCCCCCCCTCAGGGATGGCCAGGCGCAGCCTCGGTTGCGGCAGGACCACGGGGCAGGTGTTAAGGCAGGCTGGGGCCGTCGAGCTGCCTGTGGTGCAGGGAGCTGGGGCGGAGGAACCCTCTGTGCTCCCAGCCCATTAACAGTCATGATGAGGAGGAGGTGGGAGCCTCCCCGGGGGGTGCTCAGAGCTGCCAGGTAATTAAAATGCAGCCGCCACGCACCTCGAGGGACACCATTACCTTGGGGGCAGCAAGGCTCCGGGCTGTGTCCTGTAGGACAGCCTCACCACGAGGCCTGGTCGGGAAGCACACAGCACATCCTTTCCTCCCTTCCCATCTCCTGCCTTCCTTGCGACCCTGCCCCTTGCCTGCCCCGAGGGCCCATCAGCAGGAGGAAACTGACCTTTCGAGTCTCCAGGGCGCAGGCGGCTCGGCTCTTTCCTCTCTGGGGGAATCGTGGCAGGCATAACAGGAAGACCCCGAGATGGCGCCTCCTGGATCCCCTCCTGGGTTTCATGACCCTGTGTGCCCTTCCGGGGAGTGTGGGACAGCCTAGCGACTTCTAACCAGCCGGACCCAGCAAGGTGCCTTCTCAGCGTGCAGGCTTTGAGGAAGCAAGCTGTCATGCTGGAGAGGCCCACATGGCCAGGAACTGAGACGCTCAGCCCAGTGCCCCTCGAGAACCGAATCCTGCCGCCCACCATGTGCACTGGGGTGTGCATCTTGTGTCTGGACCCATGGTTTCCAGAGACCATGAGTCAAGAACTTTGTTTTGAGCTGCTAAATTCGGG